CATCGCGTCGCGCACGCTGTGCCTCACGCGGCTGCTCATGCTGGCCGCCTTCCCGCTCTGCTACCCGCTGAGCCGCCTGCTCGACTGGGCGCTGCGGCAGGAGCTCAGCGTCTTCTCCACGCGCGAGCGGCTCCTGGAGACGCTGCGGGCCGCCGGCCCCCACGGCGACCTGGTGCACGAGGAGCTGGCCATGGTGCAGGGCGCGCTGGAGCTGCGCACCAAGGTGGTGGAGGACGTGCTCACACCGCTCGCCGACTGCTTCATGCTGCGCGCCGACGCCGTGCTCGACTTTGCCACTGTCTCTGAGATCCTGCGCTCCGGCTACACCCGCATCCCCGTCTACGAGGGGGACCGGCGTGACAACATCGTGGACTTGCTTTTCGTCAAGGACCTGGCCTTCGTGGACCCCGACGACTGCACGCCTCTGCAGACCGTCACGCGCTTCTACCGCCGCCCACTCCACTGCGTCTTCAACGACACGCGCCTCGACACGCTGCTCGAGGAGTTCAAGAAGGGTGAGGCTGTCGGGGCTCCCCCCGCGCTCCTCCCAGGCAGCCCCCTCTGCTGCCTGCCCCATCTGGCCTCCTGGCAGGTCCTGGGGAACGTGGGGTCCAGGCTCCACCTGCATGTGCTGATGCGGCCGTGTCGCTGGTGTCATTGAGACAGCCGCTGGGTGGGTCGGGGGTCTCAGCACCAGAAACACCTGGGACCTAATGGAGCCTTCAGCCTTGGAGGTCGCTGGCTCATCAGAGCAGGCAGGGTCCAAGGCTGCTGTGGGGCCCGGTGTGCAGCCATGGGAGCCACTACTCAATTCTGTGCCATGGTGGGGGTTACAGCAGGAGGCTGCATCTCAGGCCTCGGCTCTCATGTTTCCATCTCAGAAGCAGGCCTGGAAAGGGGTTGTGTGTAAGTGATTTAAGGGAAAGGGAAAAGCCCAAATCCTTAGATATAGCTGTTCTTTCCTAGCAGCTCCTGCAGTGCTCACAGCGCAGCAGCTGCCAGCAGCCCCAGAGAGGCCGAGTGACGTATTATCATTAACCGTACCTTGAGAATATGCAGCATTTGCTTTTTCCCTGCTGGGAACTGTGAGGCATATTCCTGTGTGCCATCCAGTACCTCACACAGGCTGAGGCTGTAAGAAATGGCTGCATGGTGACGTCTTGCATTATGTAATGATAGAGGAAGATAATACAGAGGCTGCTTTGCTGCCTGTGGCCTCTACAGCAAGCAGAGCTGATGATGTGAGAGAGGCCGAACAAGTCCTTCCCTGGCCTGGAGAAAGCCTCTCTCTGAATCTTCTCTACTAGTTTATAGGGCTGGGGGTGAGGAAGCAATGTTTTATCTGTACCAGGCAAGTGATGAGTGTGCAATGATCAGGTACCCACAGGGCAGCATTCTTGCCAGAGGTACACAGCCGTGTTCCCACCACTTCCCGGAGCCACAAGCAGAGAAACTCTGTTTGGCATAAAGCATTTAACCTTACTCTTAGTGCACCTGCTGGCTCCCAACTCTGTGCAAATTGGCAAATTCTTGTGTTCTTAAGTAACAAGGCTTTTAGCAAAAGTATTAAGATGGTTCTCTCTCAGTTCAGCCTTGATGATTTCTGCAGCAATTTCCCCTCCTTGATGATTTCTGCAGTAATTTCCCCTCCTTGTACCTCCCCTGTCTTTTCTAACATAGTTGTCTCTCCTCTTCCAAACTCCTCGTGCCTTGCAAGTCCTTCTCAACTGCAATTTCCTGCACTGTGCTACAGCATTAACAAAGGTCATTTGGTCTCTGCTGCCTCTCCTTTCTCTAGCAAGTCAGGTATTATCAAAGATATTCACATGAGTGTAGCACACCATCCCTTGGGCAGCCCCCCCTGCATTTTCTCCCCTTTTTTATGACATATTTGGGTGTTTATCCTTCCACATTTGTTCTCCAACTTGGAACGCCGTTGATCAGTACACTTATAGAAATGGGCTTGCTTAGCTCACTTATTTTGTTTGCTCTCTTCACCATCCCCTCTTCCCTGCATAAATACAGATACTGAATTTTCTTCATTGTATAATTCCAGCTGACAGGTGCATTAACAGCAATTGTTACTTGCTCTGCACTTTCTTATACTAGTCCTCCTCTCAGATGAAGATTCTCCAGCCTACTTCAGCTTGGCTCTTCGGATTGTGCTTTGGGCTCTTGCTCCCCTACATCTGTGTCCCATAGGTGTTTAGTATCACCTCTATGTAAAACTGTCCCTTAAATATCATCCTGTCCTCACCTCCCTTCTACCCTCTCCCGGCCTTTTTTTTTTTTTTTTTTTTTTAATGTGGCTAAAATATCTGTTATTATCTAACTCTGCTCAGTGTTTAGCAATTCCAGCTCTTCACCCAAATTTTCTTATGCCTAGGTGTTGCTGTTCTCTTCTGATTTGCCTTTCTCCCATTTCTAGGCCTTCTGTTCACTCCCAGCACCCTGTATTTGTAGCTGTCCAAAAGATCCCCTAGTCCAGCCCTGGACCCTTCCTAAACTCCCCTTTCTCAGCTCCAAACACAGCTTTCCACAGACCTTCCGTCCAAGGGAAGGAAGTCCCATCTATGCAGTCCCATCTATTGCCCTTCCAGCACAGTTTACCCGACTACTTAATATCTAAATAAACATTTCCTATTTGTAATTAAGATCTTTGTCACTGTTGCCTTTTTCTGTGTCCATTTCAATTATGCTGAAATACCTTCTTTGAAGAAATCAAGGTTTCTTTCCACAGGCAGATTTTCCATGACATCTCTGCTAAGATCCACATAGCTTCAGTGCTCGTTGGTTCAGTGCCTGTCTAATGAAGACATCCATCACTTAGCACATCCAGCCTACGTGCAGGACAGCAAATGTTCCCACTGATTATAAAGCCTGGTCTCCCTCTAGGAAATTAAAGTCCCCGATGAGGACAGCGATTGCTAACCACCTCCAAGTCAATAGCTCCCCGGCACACTTCTGAATCTGCCTTGTTAGCTTTCTTTTCCTTCTCCCAAGCTTTTGATTTAAGCAGATTTTCATATTTTTTATTTCTTTTGGTTATGGCAGCGTTTATATAAAGTACTTATCAATTTTCTATCTTTCTTTCTTGAGTAGCAATTGTACTTCAAGATTTGTTTCAGGAATGATTAATATTTACTGATAATGATTTATAACTTATAATGATTAATATCTACTATACTTGTGTCATTTTTGCATAATATACAAGCAATTTTAAGTTTTCTGCCTAATCTCATTGTACTCATACACAAACATCTGTGTTTTTTTTCAACAAACCATCAACAGTATCCTTAAAAACAGTGTTTTCCATGACTCTTGCTCATCCCACCATTAGCACTCTCTCTTTCTGTCTCTCCTCCTACACAGTGACATCATCCTTGTTTACCTGCTGTTTTTCTTTTCTTTTAGTACATTATCCTGGCTCTGAAGATTGTTTTTCCCCCCCCAGCCACTAGACTTTTGTAATGGGTTTTGCAGGGAAATTTTCCTTCATTATTTTCTGGGCTTGTTTAAGCTCAGCACCAGTAAGATGCATTCTTTGTCTGAATAGGTTTAATATGTACCTAAGCAGAGATGCCCTGCTCCCAATGGGTCCCTGGACAGCATTTTGAGGCAAGTGGATCCAGGTGCCCACAGGAGTTATGTTTTATGATGTTTCCCCCAGGGCATGGCTGAAGTCCGTGGCTTCAGATTGCCCAAAATATTTAAACTGCATAAAAAGAGTAGTGGAAGCTTCAGTAGCACCAGGAAAGCTCATGACCTAGCAGGGTTACCTCTGTCATGGGCTGCTGTCAGCTCTTGGATGATAAAACAGAGCTCATCAAGGCCAAGGTCAAGCTGTCCACATCTACCCTTTAGTAAGCCTGTTGTTATCTTCTCTCTTGGTATTTCTTCCTGGAAACAGTGAAACTGGGAGCTCTGAGGGAGCTGGGAAAGACTGACAAAGACTGAGGAGCAGAAGAGGGGGAGTCAGCCTGCTGGATGAATAGCTTGGGCTTAGGTGCACTGGCCAAAAGTGCTGGGCAACTGCTGAAGCTCTTCACAAAGTGACACTGCAGCAGCATGGGCCAGAAGACAGCCCCATTTGGGCTGAAGACAGCCAGGGCTTGGACTACAGGAAGGTTTAGATGCACCTTCCTCAGAGATTGGTGGTCTTCAAATTCAAGAATAACGAGGAGCGGGTACCCAGTTTGGCAGCTCTTCAGGCAAGCTGGACCATCTCTCAATAAGAGCTGTGCATAGCTGTGAAGCACTTACATGTAAGTGCTAAGAGGAGGGGTTTACCCTAAATCTGTGTTCATTCTTCATAAGTGGTAAGAAACTACACACGAGCAGGGTTACTTTGCCACCTGCAACCTGAAAGAGGCTGAAACTATTGAAATGAAGAAAAGGTTTGGAGACAGTTCCTGCATGGCACACTTCATAGAGTGCCTGGCTTTTCTTCTGGGGTCACTACAGGAATTGCCTAATACACCAAAGATGCAACTGCACCATACTTAGCAACCTGGAGCAGTGTGGAGAGGCAGGCAAAATCCCAGTAAGATAACACGTTGTCTTAGGAGACTAGAAATAGGAAGAAAAGTTGATGTATTTGTTTAGCGTGAAGTGCGGTGGGTGACGCAGCCTGTTTTCCTTCCTTCACAGCAGAGATCCAAAGCAATACATGCTGCAGCCTCACTCCTATACCATAATGTCACATGGTGGCTTTCCAAGAGGTGCATCCTGGTCTGCAGGCACCCCTGGGGACTCACAATCCTTTCCCATTGCTTAGGTCATTTACTGGTCTTGGTGACTCCTTTTCTGGGGTGGTGGGTTCCATGCAACTGTCATGCCTTTCAGCAGGACACCTTCCTCTGCCAGGGAAGCAGTGGAAATTGGCTCTTGTGTTCATTCTCCTGCAGCAGGCAGGTACTGAGCTACTGCTCAGCATGTCATTCTTCAGTCTTTTAAAAAGCTGCTGAAAATAAAGTCTCCCAAGGCAACCTCCAGACTTACTGGAGACAACAGCCCACCCTGCGGAGGTTACTTGGGCCCCAAAGTCTGCCCTTGATTTCCAGAATACTCCATGGCCTCCATTAGACCTAGAAACTGGTGCCTGAACTAATTCAGCTGCTTTTCGTACTGTCCCTCCCCTGAGCCCACAGTCACTGCAAGCGTGAAACAAGCACGACAGCCTCAAGGGCTGTCTTGATTTCAACTGGAAAGCAGTGCTTGCCACGAGGCTACATCCTGCCCCAGCAAACCCCACCGTGGGCCAGCCCAGGAGAGACGTGAGACACAGCCCCACAGCTCCAAGCGAGGAGGACCATGTCCTGCAGACTGAGGTGTCCTCACAGCCTCCCTGGTGCAAATGAGCATTGCCTCTGGCTGTCACTCACCCAATGCAGTGTCACGTGTGGTGCAGCCTTGCAGTGATGCAGCAGCGCAGCCTCCCGCACATTTCCAGTTCCACACACTCTCCAGTCAGGTTCCCCACTTAACTTCAGCTGCGGATCTGCAAGGAGGGACAGAGGCACTGGCTCTTGCCCCAGCGCTGGGAAGAACTGTGATTAAAAGCACATTGAGAAGAGATTTAAGTTGCAGCATGATATTTTGTCGATCAGCCTAGTTTTCCAATTACCTTTTTTTTTTTTTTTTTTTTTTTGGCTTTCCATTTGTAGCTGGAAATTGCTCATGGCTTGTGCCTGCACCTTTAGTATTCTAATAGCGATTTTAGATTTTACAGTAAAACTCATGAAAAGAAATTTCCTATTCACGATACTCATCTTGCAGAACAAGAGACCGGGTTAAAGCATCTTTAGCATTCCTCTGGCAGAGCACCTACATTAAAAAGATAAGGAAGCCGTCTGGGCTATTTCTGCCGCCAGCAGCACTTTCTTTCCCACAGGAAAAGACATTTTCTTATTCAGGCTCTGTCCTCTCATTTGGGAGGATGCTTCGAAGTAGCTCAGGGAGCCCAAGGTCGTTCAGATACCTATGAAAAGCAAGACTCCTAAAAACAAACATAAAAGCTTTACCTAGCAATTCAGGTAACTGCTTTTCTAAGCTTTTGGTTGTTTATATTAGCTCTATAATTTAGCATTTGGAGGCATTAACTTTAAGTGAAGCTGTTGTTTGAAAAGAGCAGATTTCATGTTGCCCATAAAGAATTTAGTGCGGTCGTAGCCCGTGCTGAGCAGACACTTAATCACTATAGTTTCCTGTGCATGAGCAGTCCTATGGAGGCCAGTGGAGCTGTTCACACAAGTAAAGTTAATTGCCCATTCCTTCTAGTGCTTGCCAAACCAAGGCTTTGATTCTCACTGTTTCGCAGTGCATTTTTGCATCTGTGATATCCCCTGTAAAACTCACACAAGACAGTTTGCTAGTGGTGAAACAACTAGCCCTTGTGATTCATTTCATTTGAACTATCAGGGAAGAGTTATAATAATATAGTTTTGGAATCAGTTTTACAGATTTCAGACCTGTTTTATATCAAGTTAAAAAAAAAAAAAGTGATTTATATCAGTCATATTTCCACTAAAACAGAACTACAAAATAGCAGCCAGAGAAGAAGACACCACTTCTCTGAAGTCCCCACGTCTGCTGCTGGACCACCCCTCCCTAGACATTAATTGCACCTCCTAACCTGACAGAAGGAAGTTTCTGCCCCCATACCTTCTTCTGAAAGCTGCTGTGTCTTCCCTACATGTGTGTAGCAGCTCCAGGGGTGCAGGAGGAGGTACTCAAGCTCAGTGGTGCCACCAGCCCTCAAAGGAACGAGCAGCAGCCCCACCAGACAGGAGACCTACCAGCTTTCCCCAGCTCCCATTGCCAAATTTATAAGGTTTGTTACAGAAGTCTTGAGAAGAACAAGCTCCCCATGATGGGAAGAGATGACGGACCCATGTAGGTGTGGGGACAGAACCTTGAAAATGATTTCATGCCCTTTAGGAGAGGAATTGGGATATAACAGCCCTTTCCCAAGGGGGCCCTCCTGGGAGCAGTAGTAATTCCCACCAGGCTTTGTGAGGGTTTTTATGGGTGCTATGGGTGTCAGCTGGTTGAGAAGGGATTCCTTCTTTGCAGGCCAGGAGGAGCTGTTAATTGCAATGGTTTTCCAGGGCTGGGTACCTGCTCCTTTCCTAATGTGAACATTATCCTTGAAACCTAAACCTGGGGTTTATAGTATGGCTACAAGTGTTTATTTTCTGTGAAAATAAAGAACTCTTGAGTGCTCCAACAGCCCTGCTGGCTCTGCCTCCGGTGCAATGAAACCGTGGGTCTCCTTCCAGAGTAATGGTGCTGGGTTGTTTCGCAGTAATCTGATTTGCTGCTATGTGAACATGGAGCTGGAATCACATTTCTGTGTGGCTGCTCTAGAGTAATTTACAGTGTCAATGTAGGTGTTTGGCCAAAAAAAGAATTGCCTCCATTACTCTCTGACTGCCTTTAAGTAGCACCTAAGCTTTTTGTAAGGGTTTGGTGGTTTTGGGTTGCATGTAAATGTCATTAACGGAGAGCTTTTGGCCAAAAGAAATATCTTCTCCCCTCTCCTTGCTCACCCGAGGACTTGCATGAGACCAGATGGCCCCAGTGTTTGGGAGTGGGTTTTGGCAAAGGAGACTTTTTTGAAAGTTGGACTTTGCTAAGATGAAACGTAGCTGTTGCTGCTGTGTTGCAGCCAACTCTGCTTCTTATTTTTTTCTTTTTAAGGCTCAAGTCACGGTACTTTATTACACACTTAACAGAGAGTATGCACAAACTGCTATATGAAAAGAGATAGTCCTGGCCCGAAGAAATCACTGAATTTTCAATGCCCTGAAGATACTGATTTGTTTTTAAAGCGCATCTCCAGCATCATAGAAAGAACAAGAGTGCTACTTGCTGCAATGTTATGTTCTCGTTTCTAATTCTGTAGGCGTGGGAGGCAGTGAGCTGCTCTCCGAAATCTTGCAATAAAAGCTTGGTATGAGGAGGAGGGAATTTATACTGTGGAACATGCCTAAGTTTTTTTTTTTTTTTTTTCTTTTTTCTTTGAGAAATGTATGGTGCTGATCTTTGTCTGAGAAATATCATTTGCTGGTCTCAGCTGCAGGGCAGGGTTATTTGAAGGGCACATGTTCCCCAGGAGGGAGTGTTCTGTGGGACTGCCCTGGAGGTGCCAGTCTCTGCCCCACGGAGGGAACAGCCCAGAAGTCACTGCAGGGGAGAGGAGGCTGCAGAGCAGGCAGGGACCCATCCGTACTGCATTTCCATACATAGACACCTTCCACTTCCCGTAGTAGCCAGCAGGTTTGTTGTCGGCATCCTAGGAGAAGCAGATCTAGAGCAGCTGAGGGCATTACCTGGAGGTAATATTGCCTGCAGGAGACAAGGCAGGGACCTTCACAGAGCTGTGGCTGTGACCCAGCCGTTCAGGTGAGCGCACCCTGTCTCCAGGGACAAGCCACTGCTGTGGTGTGTGCGAGGGAAGTGCTCCCCTGCTCCAGGACCTCAGGGACAAGTGTGTTGGGAAGAGAGAGCGTCCCTGCAGGGAAGTCTGGGGGTCTCAGAGCCCCCAGGCTGGTGAGAATTGTGCAGGATCAGCACCCTGCATGCATAGAGGTATCGCAAAGGAAGACTCCAGGAAAATGGAGAAAAGCACAAAGAGGGAAAATTTTTGGATGTGGTGTCCATGAGAGACTCCTCTCCTCTCCTCTCCTCTCCTCTCCTCTCCTCTCCTCTCCTCTCCTCTCCTCTCCTCTC